AAGACTGTACTGAAATTGTGGGTTCTGGTCTTGATCTTGTGATAAATATATAATTGAATTTTATGAGGAAAAATTAACTTTTGCACATACTCCCCTATGTGGAATTTGTTGTACAGTGAGTTTAAGAAAGAAGTATTACCGAAACACTGTCTCTGACCAGGCATTTATACTACATATAAATTGAACTACTCTTTGAGAATGGAAACAAAGCTTAAGTTACATTTAGTTGTTTACTGGGCAGGTGATGAATTAATGTAGCACATAAAAACCACTTTTCATTTTGTCACTGTCCACCTGAGCACTTCTTCTTAAGGATTCATACTAATGGATGTGCAAATGATTTTTATAGGCTAGGTTAGTGTAGTGTTAACTCCATTGTATGACACCTGACACAAACCTTAACACAGCAGAAAATGACAGTTAACAGTAGAAACACTTTATGTCCCTGGTGTCTGCAGCAAAACTAAACTGTTGTAACAGGCTTTGTGTAGCATGTGTAGTTTTTACATGTTGAACCAAAATATAGCTAAATTCATGTAGTAATAAACTTATTTATTACAGGGTTCTGTTTTGTCCCTCTGTTTCAACTTCAGAAAATTATTTGTGCACAGTTGGCTGGAGGGCCAGGCTCTAATATCAGAAGATTTGTGTATTGTACTAAGAGACATAACAACTGGTGTTCTGTCCTATAGTAGTGGGAGTGGGTTTTTGGCTGGTAGAGGCTTGTTTATATCTTTTGTTAAGAGTTCATGGCCTCTTGGGGGGGGGAGTAGGGTGGTTGTGTGTGTGCCCTCAAATATACAAAACAGTGGCAGAAGTCTTTCAGTATCAATGATAATAGGTGGTTAATGTTCTGAAGATCACAATATAAGTGAACCTTAGGGTGTAATGAATGTTTTGCCTAACATTCACCTCAGAGCCTATTAATAAGCCCCTGTGTCTGTCCCTTCTTTCTCCCTTTTCAAACTCCTCTTTTTTTCTCCTTCCCTTCACTTTCATTTTTTTTTTAATTGGCCATAACATGAAATGAAGACATTTTAAAAATTGCTGTTTGGATATAGTTTTGTGTTATACACCCTGCTCTTAAAAATGACATGAGTTAAACTTAAGATTTTTTTTTCTAGAAAGTTAAAAAAAATGAAACCCAAACCATCTGTTTCTGTTGGTTATTGGCCTTCAATTGGACATTAGGCACTTATTATGTGCAAGGCATCATTTCAGAAATAAGGTTTCCCATCCCTCTGTTGTGTGTGTATGAGAGAAAGAGACAGAGATGTAACTTACAGAAAATTCTTATATGAGGATCTTTTCCCCACATCAAACAAGGGATAGTTAAGTGTGATTTTTTTCTTTTTTCTTTCTTTTTCTACTTCTTTATTTTTATTTATTTATTTATTTTTTTGCTGCTTCCTCGTAGTAACTCTGGCTATATGTCTCTGAGTCAGTTGTGGGGAGGTATGGGCCTGGTGGAGCTTCTAGCCACCAAAAACTATAGTGGACTTTCCCAAAGTAGTGTATAGTAGTGTTTGTTTCTCAAAAACAATATTTCTTTAGAATCTTAGGCTTTTTGAGCTATTATGGTCCTTAGCAATCTAATTGACACTATTTTATAGGTGACAAAATTGAGGAGCAGAAGTTTACATAGGTAATGGCAATGTTGAGACAAAAAAAAAAATAAGGTCCCATGGCTAATAATACACTATGCCACCTTTTTTTGGGGGGGATGTTAAGAGGCATTTAAGTATGTATTTAAACATTTTGTCTTTTAAGTTGTATTTTTTAAAAATATATTTATTTTTAACATTCTTTTTGAAATTTTGATTTCTGAATTCTTTCCCTCCTACCTCTTCCCTACCTTCTGTGAAGGCCAGAAATGTGATATCAATTATACATTTGAAATCATGCAGAACATATTTCTGTCTTAGCCATGTTACAACAACAACAAAAGCAGGAAAATAAAGAAAGTGAAAAAATTATGCTTTCATCTGCATTCAGATTCCATAACTACTTTCTTTCAAAGTGGATAGCATTTTTCATCTATAAGTCCTTTGGAATTATCTTGGATCATTGTATTGCTGAGAATAGCTAAGTCATTCATAGTTGATCTTCATATAATATTGCTGCTACCATGTACAGTATTCTGGTTTTGATTGCTTCACTTTACATGAGTTCATATAAATCTTCCCAGGTTTTTCTGAAAGCACTTTAAAAAAAATTATTTAGTATTTTATTTTTCCCCAGTTACATGTAAAAACAATTTTAAAAATTCATTTTTAAACCTTTGAGTCCCAAATTAACTTCATTTCTCCCTCCCTACTCCCTTTCATTGAAAAGGCAAGCATAGGTTATACATGTGTAGTCATGCAAAACATTTCCATACTAGTCTTGTTGTGAAAGAAAACACAGACCCCCCCCCCCCAAAAAAAAACCTCAAAAAAAGGTTTAGGAAAAAAAAGTATGCCTCTTTCTCTGGGGATGGATAGCATTTTTCATTATAAGTCCTTCAAGAGTTGTCTCAGATCACTGTATTGCTGAGAATAGCTAAGTCATTCACAGCTGATCATCTCACAATATTGCTGTTATTTGGTACATAGCACATTTCACCTTGCATCAGCTCTCGTGTAAGTCTGAAAGCACTTTCTTGGAGCACAGTAGTATTCTATCACGATCATATACCACAACTTGTTCAACTATTTCCTAATTGAGGGCATTCTCTCAATTTCCAGTTCTTTGCCACCACAAAAAAAGATGCTATAAATATTTTTGTACATGTAGGTTCTCTTCTTTTTACTTTGGGAGACAGACCTAGTAGTGGTCTGTCAAGTTGTATTGTGACTGGAAACTAAACTTTTAAACTTGATCAGGTATTTCTGATGTCCTCAGAGGTGATTTTTACAGCATGCTGCATTTAGTGGAACTGTACTCAAGCCCCAGTTAAACACTTACACACACACACACACACACACACACACACACACACACAGACACACACACACACACCCCTTCAATACAGATCAACACATACTGTTACATTTCTAAATGTAGGAAAAATTTGTTTAAGAACAAACACTTCTTAACAGAAGGGGATGAGAATGGGGTGTGGCAGAATGTTGAACACCTTCAGATGTAGTCACTATGTTATTTTTTTTTAACTGTTTTCTTTGTTGATGAAAGAGGCTTCAATTCTTGGGGGGGCTGGTATATGCATAAACAAGTGGTATAAAAACAAATGGCATCAACAAAACATTTTTAAAAAACCAAATACTACATTTACATGGGTAGTTTTTGGTTTAGGAGTATAAAACAAAGTTTACTCTAAAACTTAATTCTTTTAGGCAGTTTGGAGTGTATAATTTCCCATTTTCTATGTACAGTGAATTTTAACGAAAAATAATTGTTTGCTTCTTAGAATTGACTTCATTTCTTTCCAATCAACTCTTATATTATACCCAGACTTTTCAAAAACTTTGTGTAAAAACATAGGATTTCTAGTATGTGCAGAGAACTTAATTCATTTTTAAAGGGGGGATGCCCATGGTTAATTCTTCTGTATGGTAACTTTTTTCTTCATTCTATTGCAGAAATGAGCCGCCAGACTGCTACAGCCCTCCCTACTGGTACTTCCAAGTGTACACCATCTCAGAGGGTGCCTGCATTGACTGGCACAACAGCATCGAACAATGACTTGGCTAGTCTATTTGAGTGTCCCGTCTGCTTTGATTATGTGTTACCCCCTATTCTTCAGTGTCAGAGCGGCCATCTTGTTTGTAGCAACTGTCGTCCAAAGCTTACATGTTGTCCAACTTGCCGAGGCCCATTGGGGTCCATTCGCAACTTGGCTATGGAGAAAGTGGCCAATTCAGTACTCTTCCCTTGTAAATATGCCTCTTCTGGATGTGAGATAACTTTGCCACACACAGAAAAAGCAGACCATGAAGAGCTGTGTGAGTTTAGGCCTTATTCGTGTCCGTGTCCTGGTGCTTCGTGTAAATGGCAAGGCTCTTTGGATGCTGTAATGCCACATTTGATGCATCAGCATAAGTCTATTACAACACTACAGGGAGAAGATATAGTTTTTCTTGCTACAGACATTAATCTTCCTGGTGCTGTTGACTGGGTTATGATGCAGTCTTGTTTTGGCTTTCACTTCATGTTAGTCTTAGAGAAACAGGAAAAATATGATGGTCACCAGCAGTTCTTCGCAATTGTACAGCTGATAGGAACACGTAAACAAGCAGAAAATTTTGCTTATCGACTTGAGCTAAATGGTCATAGACGGCGATTGACTTGGGAAGCTACTCCTCGTTCTATTCATGAGGGAATTGCAACAGCTATTATGAATAGTGACTGTCTAGTTTTTGACACCAGCATTGCACAGCTTTTTGCAGAAAATGGCAATTTAGGCATCAATGTAACTATTTCCATGTGTTGAAATGGCAATCAAATGTTTTCAGGCCAGTGTTTAAAACCTTTGCATCATTTAATTTCACAGAAGATAGGGTAACCATCTTTGACTGCCAAATATAAACTCTTTTGGTAGGTGGAAGCTAGACATAATGAAGGTAAATAAAAGGAAAGGCTGTTATATGCAGGAAGCAGTTGCATGTAATAACACTAATATATTTAAAAATAAGTCAACAGTAAACCACTGAAAATATATATACACCCAAAATGGGCATCTTTTGTATTAAGAAAGTTGATCCTACAAGAAATGTTGTAAAATAATTCTAAACTTGTATTTGTAGATTGATTGTACTGTTGAAGAGAATACTGTTTTTTGTGTTTTTTTATTTGACTGACAAGCCATGTTGAGCAGTCTCTGACTGCTGCTTTTTTCCCCTTTGTAAGTCACTACATAGTATTGCTGCTGTTTGTGTATATTTTTTGTGTATTTGCTAATTTTTATTAACTTCTAGTTTTTTCATTAAATTTGACTTTCTTTTCTGTAATTCAGGTTTTCTCACTTTTTTGTACCTTTTAAAAGTTAATTACAGGTGTCTTATCTTTTTGATATGCATCATTGTTTATGGTAAAGTATATACATATATATGTTTGAATTTTTCTTTTCCCCCACAGTAATCAGTTTGTTAGAAATATTGTTTTTAATTCAGCTATTGTGAAGATCTGAACAGTAGAGAGGAGCAATTAATTATATTGGAAGAATTGGCCAAGAGATCTCCTAAAGCAGATGTAGATTAAAAAAAATTCATTCATATCCTTGGATCAGTTTTGTTTGAGGGTTAGGGAAAAGTTTTGATTTAAAAATGTTAAAGATCAGGCTTTTCTCCCTATCCTTTGACCCCAGTTCCCACAGAATTTAGAAAAAAATTAGACATTTTGTTCAAAAATTGTTCTTGTATTAGTTTTGGGGGGAAAAAGGCATTGTCATACAGTATTTGTAACTAAAAACAAATCAATTGTTTAAAAGGCAGTCTGGGGGGAAAAAGATGTTTTTGGTCTTTTATAATTGTCATTAAAAATATCTGGCAAACTAAAAATTGGTGTGTTTTGCTTTAGTGCAGTTTTCTGGTGTTGTTATATCCCCAAAGTTATTGTCCTCTTGTCAGTTTTTGTCTTTAGCTCTTTTTGAAGTGGTATAGTTACTATAATGCACAATAAGAATACATGTTTTTGTATAGTTAACTCAGTTCCTAAGTAACCGATCAACCAGGTTTCTTATTCTCCTTGCAGTTGCCTTTCTTTGCTTAAATTCTCTTCTTCCTGGTAATTCCACTGGGATGACTAAGGGAAAAGAAAGCACTTTTCTCTGGAATCCCATTAATAATGCAGCACTATAGTTAGTTACAAATTGATGCTAATAATGACTCTGAGGTATACTGAAGGATCGGTGCCATCGGAATCAGAAAATAATGTTTGTCGTGGTTTGTCACTGTTCTAATTCTTTGAACATTGGTAGTTTATGTTTTGTGTTTATTGAAACTATTAACTAGAACACCCATTCCTGTCCTGACTGGATAATAAAAGTTTACTATGTTAACTTTTTTTCCCCAGGTTGCTTAGCAGAAGCTGAATAAAATGAAGTGTTTTTTTGGTTTACTGTGAATTTCACTTTGTGCTAGTGGGGCAAAGAAGGCTCATAGCTAGATTGCTTAGAAGTGTGATTACTGTTTTGTTCTGAGCTAATAGAGAAGGTGGCTGCATAATTAACAAAATCTGTTGGCTCAACTTGGTGTAACTGGCCTGTGTCATTAAAAAAACAGCTTTATTACCAGTTCATTTAAATTCCCATTTAGAGTAATGTCTGTGTGCATAATTATGTACACACGAAGTGGGGAGGTCTGGGCTTCTGTTCTTTTGTGTAGGGAAATACTATGGAGATGACCAAATTCTCTGCTATTTATATTAGTTGTCTGTGGCACTATAAGGTTAAGTGACTTGCCCAGGCTCACACAGCCAGAGGTTAAGACTTGATCCCAGGTGTTCCTGATTCCAAGGTTTGGTTCTTCATCTATTATACTATTAAACTGCTATGCTGCCTCCAGATTTATATATTGTACTAATGGTATCTTAAAATCCAAACTTAACTAACTAGCTTATTTCCTAACTGGCTTATGAAGATTTTAGAAGTTCTTTAATTTATCATGCTGATATAGTATCCTTAATACACTCCCTCCCTTTCACTGATTTTAAATGTGCAATCTGTCTTGTACCAGAAATTACATATATTTTTTGTGCTGTTACAAATCTTTATTCACTATCAGTCCTCTTAATATATTTTGCCCCAATACTAATGAATCATTATAAAAGATCATCACAAGACACTTTCATATCCATAATCTTGTTGGATTAATGACCCAACCTTTGAGATTGATACCCATTTAAAAGATATGAATACATTAGGCCAGAGAGGTATGGGCATTTGCCCAAAGTCACAGTAATAAATGATACTTAGGACTTGAAATTTTTTGTCTGAGTGCCATATTGATCCATGGGAGAGCTGACATACTCCAGTATTTAGTTTCAGGAAGTCTACTATATATCTATATCAAGAGATACTGCTTTTAAAATACGAAGTTAAAATTCTGTTGTCTTCTAAGTAATCTGACCAAGAGAGGCAGCCTGGTACAATGCACTAATTATCAAGAGACCTCTGCTACTTCACTCATTGCACTTGTAATTTGCATGAATTTGCCTATAGGTTAATTTTTATGGTTTTATTCAGTTTCCTATATGGATTGTTGGACAAATTAAAATTATGATTAGGAAATCTTTCCTTGTCAGTAGTGCATTTGTTTGATGACTAGATCGTTCATTTCTACTATTGACTGCAACATTGAAGTTATACATACATACACACTCCAATAACCACAGCCTCCTACTCCAGTATAAAACAAATAACTAAATAACTTGGTATATTTGTTGCACTTAGAGCAGTCTTGTTCAGTTACGCCTTTGTTTTAAGCAAGTCAATGGACTATAGTAAATTGTTTCTATTTCTGTTGCTTCCCTCATTTTCAGTGAGTCCTGTGCTGGTGAAAATTAGCTTGACAGCAGTGAGGAAATAGATTCTGGTAGATCACCACAAAGGAGGTGACACAGTGGGCAGCATCAATGCCAGCTTTCTCCTCACGTGGATTTCTTTGCTTGGATAAAGTACTTCTAGGGGTAAGAGAAGAACCTGTTGACTCCATCCTGTATACTGACTTCGTCCTGCTAAAAGAAATGGGATGAAGACCACCAATTTGAGGAACTAAGCAACTAAATGACAGCAGCAGCTTCTTTATCCTATAGACTTAAATTTGTAACAAATAAATTAAAAATTATTTTATTCATCTTGAGAATGTTAACTCTCCTTTTGCTTTCTGTGAAAGAAGGAACTTGCCTTTGATTCTAATGAAAACTTAAGAGGTTTTATTTTAATGCACTAAAATCTCATTTCTGATCAGGATGAAATCTGACCAGTGTTTAATTCTTGGTTATGAAATTCTGGCTTTAGGTCAGGTGTGTTGCTATAACCTTTGAATTGAATAAAAGGGAAGTAATTTAATGAAATAACTTTTAGCAGTAGAAAAGAACATGAGTTTGGCAGGAATTAAGTAGTTTTTATGTATTGCTCAGTGTAATTTCATTCTGTGAATTTTTATTATAGTCTGTTTAGAGAATGACAGTTCTTAAGAGACTACAAATGGCACAACCCATTTTGTTTGGAAGAAATACAGGTAAAAGGTGAGTTAGTGGGAATCTGAACATGTTTATTCTATTAATTTATAAAATTATATGTGTACATATACACATACATAGACGTGTATGTATTTATGTGTGATTGTTTCCTATGATTTCATCAAGGCCATATAATCTAATGTTAACTCTCTTGTCTTCAGTTTTACACCTGATTTGGCAAATATGACTTGGAACCCAGGTTTTCATGGCCAGGTCTCTATCCACTACACTAGTGGTGTCAAATTCAAATAGAAGCAGTTGCCACTAAACTGTATATAAGGATCCCATGGAGTGCATATTGACTTAGAAAACCATGTAATACTATCTGTCTTATATTATTTATTGTTAAATATTTCCCAACTACATTTTAATCTGGTTTGAGCCACACTCAGGAGTGTTGTGGGCCCCATGTGGTGGACCTTGTGTTTGACACCCCTCCACTACACCATGCTGCTTCTAAAAGTAGCAGCAATGTAGTAACATCTCTTTTAAAAAGAAGTAATTCTATTAAACACTGTATGCTCAAAATAGGAAATTAAAATTATTAGGCTTCTTGGCATATCAGGAGGACTGCAGCCTTGTAGCACAGGTCTTTCTAGAAGGAATATAAACATTGGTATTAAAATAGGGTTTTTTTTTTCCTCCCCCAATTAATTTGATTTTTCTCTCTTCAAACGCCCCTTCCCCAGTGGGGGGGGGGGGAGGGCAGAGGAAGAGTGGGGAAGAACCCCTGCAACCAGTATACATAGTCAAGCAAAACAAATTCCTGCATTGTCCAAAAAACATATTCCTCACTTCTGTACCCTGAGTTTATCTGTTTAGGTGGCGGTTAGTGTGTTTCATCATGAGAGCTCTGGAAAATCATAGTTGATAAGAATTTTATGACTGAATTTTTACCATGTTATATAAATTGTTCTGGTTCTGCTCACTTCATTTAACACAAGTCTAAATTTCTTATGACACAGTATTCCATTACATTTTCATAAACCATAAATTGTTTAGCCATTCCCCAGTTGATAGTTATGCCCTTAGTTTCCAGTTTAAAGCAAGGTTTCTCAACTCTGGGGTCTGTGACTAGATTGCTGAGCTGTGAATTTGGAGAGGGAAAAAAATGACATCTTTTCACTAACTTTGTTTCCTTTATAATCCTATTTATTTTATGTGTTTAAAAACATTTTGAAAAAGACATACATAGGTTTCACTAGACTGCCAGTGGGATCCTTGACAGAAAAGAAAGGTTAAGAACTCCTGTGTTGAAGAAAATAGTCAAAAAATTAGTTTTTAATTGTGGAAGCCTAAATAACAAATGAGGCAGCTAGGTGACTCAGTGAAGTGCTGGGCCTGGAGCCAGGAATACCTAAGTTCAGATTTGGCCACAGACACTTAACTAGTGCAGAATCAGACATGACTGAACAAATGAACAATAACAAAGTAACAATACTTATGCTAAATATTGTTAAATTCTGGTGATCAGTTACCTGTTATTGAAACAGTTGTCAGTAAAGCATGACTGACAGTTTTGTGGGATTATCTAAATAGCTGAGTAATTTTTGAAACCCACAAATGCTTAAAAAGGCGTAATTTCTTAATGTATTGAGACTAGTTTCTAGGATCATCAGGATGAATGGCGTTAGTAGTGATCTTTTGGGTTATGGGGAGAGACATGTCTAACAGACAATTGACTTAAAACTCAGACTTTAGTCTGAGTTTTATGCTCAGAATCTGTAACTTAGAAATATACTTTGTATAATATAATGAGAATGAAATGTTCCGGATAAATGGCGTTTTCTAGATAACTAAAGCTTATCCTGAGCCAAAACTTAGGAAAACTTAAATGATTTTATTGAAGTTCTAATAAAATATACACAACTGTGACTGATTTTTTTTGAGGTATAGCCCTTTTGTTCCCTTTCCAATTACTTTTTAGATCATGTTACCAGAATTTGAGTAGCTAAGGTGCCTCCTGCATTTTACAAAAAAATTAGGGGTATAAGTTAGGAAAGGTATTTAAAGTATGCTTGCATGTAGTTTGTTATGGTCCTAAACTAAAGGTTTAATTGGTGGTTACATTTATTAGGTTTCTTTTAGCCATTAGTTACAACTTTAGCCAAAAAATAGCATAACCCTCCTTGAGCTTTAGGTATACTTTTGTTTTAAGGTGGTTACCTTCTGATACTCTTTGATATTCAAGGGTTCTTAATGACCCCAGTTCAACCAATCCTTGGAGTTGAAAAGTGGACTGGTTAACTGGCACACTAATTTGCTAAGAAACTTGGTACCAGCTGGTAGAGATCTCTAGTCATTTCTGGATAGAGGGCCTGAAGTCAGAAAGACTTCAATTCAAATGAGGCCTCAGACATTAGCTGTGTGACACTGAGTCAGTAGTTTAACTTCTGTCTCAGTTTCCTCAACTGTAAAGTGGCACTAATAGCACTTAACCTGTCAGGGTTGCTTTAAGACTCAAATGAGATATCTATAAAGTACTCACGTTACATAGCACATAGGAGGTGCTTAACAAATAATTATTTTCTTCCTTCCTGATGGCACTGTACCATGGTCTTGAGTAATTGATTTTACGATGCTTGACAAATTTTTCTAAAGTGAAAATCAGAGCTGGATGGAATCTTATTTTAAACATTAGGAAACTGGAACCCTGAGAGGCAAAGACTTTCCTAAGCAGGGCAATGGTAGTATGGCCCCAATTACTGTTTGAGCTGATTACTGATTGGGGCTCTGTGACCATAGGCTGTATGATCATGATTGCTTGAGAAGGAACCACCTAAGAATTCATTTGTAGTTCTCAAATGATTGCTGACTCCCTCCCGCCCCCCCTCCCAAAAATTGTTAAATCCCTTTTGTTTTCCCTTATTTGGCATGAAGAACTCTGGCAATATTGGATTTTCATGGAAATGTTCATCTACAAAGCACAGAGCAAATACAGCAAGCACAGTGAGATCATGAAGAATGTCTTTAACTTGGGTCCAGGAACATACTAATTAAATTTGACCTTTTTTCCCACCTGTAAGTCACAGGAACTTCGAGTTTTAGCCTTGATGCTTGAAGAATTGAACAAAATTGTATTCTGCACAGTGCTAGAAAATGACAGTATGCCTCTGGTCAGACACAACCTGATTGTTGTCTCATAATGTTTTCATTTTCAGAAGCCCCAAAGGTTTAGCAAGAATACATAAATGCTTACTAAGGACAAAGATACATGTTAAGGTTTATGTAAACAACATTTTTTTTGTTTGTTTTTTTTTTCTAAATGTGGGTGAGACGGGGCTGATGTAATAGCATGGCAATGTAGTTGGTGAAGTTTAGGCCTTTGTCACAATTTAATCTGCATTCTACAAATTAAACAATGTGTTGTCGAGTGCTATCTTATAAGGGGTAAAAAAAAAAAACTTGGAGAAGAGTACATAGTAGATTTTCCAGTGTTGGTGTAGCATATATGCACACTAGTGTTCTTGTGTAGTTTGCTTGTAGCAATTCAGTAGCATGAGGATCATCCTTACAACCAGGGTTAGAGAACCTGTGCTGTTTGGAACTTTTAGGATGAAATATCAATCAACAAGTATTTATTAAATGTCTACAATGTGCCATGCACTGCTAAAAGAAACTAAAGCAGGGTGCCCAGGAGAACAACGTGAGGGGTCTTCCAGAGGAGCCGTAATTTCTTACAGCAACACTGCCCCAAAAGAACTTCTACCATGTGGGCTGTCTAGAGCAGTTTGCTGCAAGAATGACTGAGGAGAAAGATGAAAAGCTATTACAAAGCCAGGATGCCCAAGACAAACCCAGAATATGAAACTATCACCAAAGTACCTACAAGCAAAGGCTTGAAGAAAAACAGTTGTGCCCAACATGAGTTAGAATTCCTAGAAGAAATGATGGGAAGAGTTGAAAATGCTATTATAAGTGAAATAAGAGTGATAGAAGAAAGAATTGGGGAGGGGGGGGAATGAGAGTTGTGGAGGAAAAGGCTTGGAAAAAGAATTAATAGCTTTGCATAAGAAGTATGAAACCTTTCGCAAGTAATAGACTGAAAATTAGAATGGACCAAAATGAAAGTGAGTCGAGAAAACAAATAAGTAAAAAATTTAATATAAGAAAATGTAAGGTATCATATTCAAAACAACTGGAAAACAGATCAGATAAAGATAATAGAGAATCATTGGTCTCCCTGGAAGCCACAACCAAAAAGAGAGCTCAGATCAGAATTTCAAAAACTCATGAAGGAAAATTTGCCTTATCACTTAAAACCAGAAGGCAAGGTGAAAACAGAAAGAATCCACTGATTATCATCTGAAAGAAATATTAAAAGTAGGAATGCAGTAGCCGAAAATAGAGGAGAAAAAGAATATTGCAAGAGTAAGACCCTGCAAGATATAGAGGTTCTTAAGGAATGAAGAACATGGAATGTGATATTCCAGAAGGCAAAGGCTTACAACCAAGAATAATTTACCAACAAAATTGAGTGTAATTCTATAGGGGAAAAAAGACCCTTAGTGAAATAAGACCTCCAACCAGTAGTGATTAAGACTAGAGTAGAATAAAAACTTCGAAATACAAACATATAAGTAAAGAGAAAAATAAAAAAGGTATACAAGTAAGCCATTGGAAAAGACTTTTTAAGGATGAGGTGGTATTCCTCTGATGGGGGAGGGGAGGATGACACAATTTCCAACTACTGTGATGTCAGCAGGGGTCAGAGAGTCAAAAAAGATGGAAGTCCTAGGAGTGTATTTTCTTTTTAAATGTTCTGATCTGAGAAAGGGAGGGGAAAAAAGATACACTAAAAAGAAAAGGGAAGGAATAGGGTTAGGTACATTTCTCACATTATCAGGGGCAGAAGTCTGTGCAAAGGGGGTGCTAGGAACAAATCACTTCAAATTGATGGAGAATGAATTGTGACTAATATGTAAGAACAACATTGTAAACAAAAACCAAAAAGTTTTTGAAAGATTTAACTATGAACACAGTATTGATTCCAGAGGCTTGATGATTTGGAATGCTCCTTACCTTCTGACAGAGAGGTGATGGATTAGATGTACAGGGTGAGACACATTTTAGGATATGACTAGTGTGGGAATGTTTTGCTTGAGTGTGCATGTCTGTAGCTGGGTTTCTTCTCCCTTCCACATCCCCCTCTGGGGAAGGAAGAGGAGATACTTGTCAACTGAAAAATAAAATTAGTTTAAAAAAATCACTTTTTAAAACAATCCTAAAAAGCAGAGTGATGAGCCAAGTGTTTCAAAATATATGGAATATTTCTTCCATAAAATCCCTATACTTAAAATTCACAATGATCTTGACCCTCCAGTTTATACTCTGAACCACACGATCAAGCATTTAGATTCACTACTATAGAGGGATATAGCATACAAAGTAGTTAACCAATTCGAAACTGTAAGTGAACTTTTTAATTTATTTTTAGGCATTTGGGGTTAAGTGACTTGCCCAGGGTCACACAGCTAGTAAGTGTCAAGTGTTTGGTCTGAGGCCAGATTTGAATTCGGGTCCTTCTGACTTCAGGGCCAGTGCTCTATCCACTGTGCCACCTAGCTGCCTCTGTAAGTGAACTTTTTAATGTGTTCTGTAAATAGTAGGTCTTAATTTATTATTTTAGGAATCATTAACTTTGGCCTTTTCTTTGTATATATGAGAGAGCCTAAATTCCAATCTATTACGGGGTTCACTGAAGCCTAGATGTGGCAGACATCAACTGGATAGGGACTTGTACTTGTGATTTAATTGATAGAGGGAGCTCCATTCTATCACTTCAGGCAATACTTCTAACTTTGTCTTAGAAAGCGTCCTAGAACATTGGAAAGGGGTTAAATGACGTGCCCAAAGTCACAAGGTCTAGATTGTATCAGAGAAAGGACTGAAACTGAGGTATTGTAGGGCTCTTGATGACAGTTCTATTATCAGTCAACTAAATTTTTTTAAAACTAGAATTGAAAATAAAATCATGCTAATTAAACCCATATTACAATAAAGTCTGATACAGATTAATATTAGTTTATTAAATAACCATCTGCTTACATGTTAGCTAATACAATCACATCTCATTAATTACTATTGTAATTAAATATGATCCACTCATTAGTGATCAATCAGCAAGCAAGCAGTATACCCCCAGAAAGTGATTAGAAAGTTTAATTTTGGTACTTCATTCCTGTTTTTAAACTTAAAAAACTTGAAGTTTTGGTCAATCTGCTTAAAGTTTACTATTCATGAGACCAAGCCTAGTTTTGACTGAAAAACCTCCATCAAAAGCTGCATTCAGAACTTCATCTAGGCAGGTTGCTGTGATAAAAGTCAAATCCTGGCGCACATTGCTTGGAATCTCTTCAAGATCTTTTTCATTTCTCTGTGGAATGATGATTCGTTTCAGTCCAGCTCTGTGTGCTGCTAGGACTTTGTCTTTAATTCCACCTACCTAACATAATGGAGAAAAGAAAGTTGTTGAGGTAATAAGGTAAGTTTTCCTCATCAATGACACCTAATACCTGACCTTCCATGGAATTCAGATATTTTGGAATATTCAATTATATATAGTATTATGTATAATAAAGGTATGGAGTTAAGTGGGAAAACCATTTGAAAAAAAAACTATAGAAATGGAGCTAACTACAAACAGTAACTTGAGGGATCTTACAAAGTAGGTTTCTGAAGTGAAAATTATTCTTATTTTACTGTCTTAAGGTATGTCATAGCAAGAAGCTAGTGCAGAGTAAGGGGAAGTAAACAGTCTGTGGAAAACCCAAAGTCTTGAAGATTATAACTTTGTTACAATGTATAAAATTATATGATTTTAAAATTATATAGGGATTAGGTATACAACTTCATGGGTTTTGGCAGTTGTGACAAAATGTCATTTAAGTTTTATAGAATGATAGTACAATTTGCAGTAAACTTCATATATAAAAAATTTAGTAAAGAGTTGTAAAAGTGATATTTAGTTGATTTAAAAAGATATAGTCAATTCATGGCTGTATGACTTTATATAAATACAGAACTATGCTTTCAGAAAACAAATTAATTTGATTCAACAGATATTTTATTAAGCATCTACTATGTGTTTGGCTGTTGTTGGTCCTTCTGTTCTCAAAGAGGACCATGGTATCAGGAAGGTGATGGTGTGACTTGCAAGTGAATTAAGTGAGGCGGGACAGTATAAAGTCACCAGCCTCGCTCTCTTCTCCTGAGCCATCTGGGTCCAGTGGCCAGATATAGATCAGGATAACTGGAGATGGCCCGGGATGCACTGGGGAGACCTTGGCCTTCTTAAGTTAAGATCTTTCCTAGGTCTCAGATTGTCTGAGGCAACACCTATTAAGTGATTAAGGCTGGGAAAAAATGAGGCAAAGAATGGCCTCTTTCATGTAGTCAAAAAAAAAAAAATCTAGGAGGGGAAGACCCTTATGTTTCTGGCCAAAACAGAAACAATTGCTATTTACATTCACTCTGCGCCATCAGAACCAAACAATGACCCAGTGAGGCTTGGGGTGGGACCTACTGTTGACCAACGGACGAGAAGCCAGAATGATACGGGTTTAAGGCATGGTCCATAAAAAAGAAATCTAGCCTGTAAAACTCCAAGATATCTTGCTAACATTTATATCCTTTGGGTGGAGCACCCACAGGTAAAGGATATGATTCCTTATATGGACAGGGGGAGGAGGGAGAGAAGGAGGATAGGAAGGAAGGAAAAATGTTAGGCACTAGGGACATAAAGAAAAAAACCAGTTCCTGCCCTGTAGGATCTTACATTTTACAATTCAGTGTCTTTCCACATAATGAAGTGGAACATGAATGAAGGTCAACGTTGGCATTTTGAGTTATAGTATGAGAATTCATGTTTAGTCAAAGTGTAGAACATCCAAAAACTTAATCAGATTCTGTTATGATAACTTGTGTAAGTTAATTTTAAAAACAGCTGAAAAACCATCAAAAACATTAAAGGCCCCTAATTCATGTAGTATAAAGACTGATAGACCTAAGGATAATATTTAGCCCAGGAAGGAAAGGATTTGTGGTGATATAGATGTCTTCAAAATATTTGAAGGTGTATCAATAAAAAAGGGGATTATATTTGTGTTCAGCCCTTCAAGGCAGAACTAAGAACAATGCAGGAAAGTTACATTAGGCAAGTTTAGGTGCAGGATAAAAGAAGAACTCCCCCACAACAAGAGCTACATACAAGTAAGTTAGACGGCATCTTGTCTGGGATGTTGCTGGAGAAGGGATTCTTCTATCAGATACTGGTTGGACTAAATTGCCAACTGAAATTGTGTATGTTAATGAATTTATTTAAAGTCCCAAGGACTTAAAAATGGAAATGACCTTAAATCATATTTAGTTTAACCTCATTTTACAGAAAAATAAACTGAGGAGGCCTAGAGAGGTAAAGTAACTTGCTTAAGGTCATACAAGCAATACATGAAGGGCTGGGATCTGAACTTGGGCATTCTGGTTCTATGGTATAACCTAGATAGTAACCACACAGGATCAGAATCCCCCAACTCCTCTCAAATTCTTCGTATTAGATTGTAAGAGCCATTACTATTTTATATAAATCTTACACTAGATGATAATTAAAATCTAGAAAGTCACAGGATTTCATATTTAATAATGGTGATTTTACAGCTTCTGGCTATGTAACAATGTATTTGATGTGTGTATATTTGTGGCAAATGGAAGATTTTTCTAAACAGGTCTGGAAAGGTGAGGACTGCATCAACAATTTTAAAACTTGGCTAAAAGTTTTGTTTGCATGAAGATGCAACAATGTTGAGATAAATTAGGGTCTCAGATGCTGCTATGTAAAATTTGTCCTTGGAGAGTCTACCTACAATAGTTTGCCCAAATGTTGGTTTGTCTGGAGAAAAACTTATTTATCATCATTCCTACCTGTTCCTCTCTTCATCCTGGAGACACAGTCATTAGGTGGTCAGGTGACCCTCCCTGACACCTCCATATGCTTCCTGCTTTCTCATCTCCATATCCGCTCAGATTTACCCTTCTTCCCAGGATCCTATCCACCTTTGCCCTCCCTTTATCTTTGTCCTGTCATTAACAAATTTTCCTTCATCTTAGACTTCTTCCTTTCTTTAAACAAATACTGCATGTATTTGTGGCTATCTTTTTAACTACCCTATGTACTTTCTTTTGTGTACTATCATGCTGGGCCAGGAGGGAGAAAAAGGAACATGCTTTGCCCCACCCTTCCTCTATCAAAATCATTCAGCAGCATTTACTCTGTGGAGGTTCCATCCATTGCATCCCTGGCCATCGCCAGTTGTCTTGACTTTTGTCTGGCCACTGGACTTAAATGACTGGAGAAGAAAGTGAGGCTTACGACATTGCCTGGCTCTGCCTGACTTCAATCCAATCCAATTCATGTACAAGTCAAGACATCACCCTCATGATACCATTGGTCCTCTTCAAGAACAAAGGATGAACAACAACAATTCAGGTTTATGTCTTCTTGAACTCTTGACAGTTCATCATCATCCAACTCCTATAATCTGTAGTACCAAAATTCAGCTACACAAGGATAATAGAACCTCAGAGACCCTCTACTCCAATGCCCCCATTTTGCGTATTAAGAAACTAAGGCCAAAGGAGACTAAATCATGTGCCCAAGGACATGAAGTAGTAAATGTAGGCAAAAATTTGGATCCATGTCTTTGACTCCACAGCCAAAACTCTAATGAACAGATCCTATTTCTACTTTCAAGGTTAAAAATTAATATTCCTCTGACTATAACCACCTATCCCATATCTCTGCTTCAATCCTAAACCTATTCTTTATCCTGTTGTTGGTTATCCATTTCAGTCATGTTCACTTCATGATCCTGTGTGGCGTTTTCTTGACAAAGATACTAGAGCGGTTTGCTATTTTTTTTCTCCAGCTCATTTTCCAAATGAGGAACTGAGGCAAACAGGTTTAAGTGACTTGCCCAGGGTCACACAGCTAACAAATGTTTGAGGCTGGATTTGAACACTGGTGTGCCTAACTCCAGGCAGGCCTGGTGCTCTATCTACTGTGCTACCTACCTGCCTCTGTATTCTTTACCCTTACTTGTGATGTAAAATTAATGCAGTGCTCACTTTAGCTATTCCTCTTGTTCATTTTCTCACAAAACCACCAAAAAAGCTTAAATGGCAAGATTTTCTTCCTCCATAATCTTGACCTTGTAACCAGTTCAACTATGTGCTATACTAACTCTCAAAACTCTAGCTCCCCTTTATCACTGCTCTTCTCTTTGTAAACCCCATTAAAATTAAGCAGTTTTTTCATTCCTACTTACATGCTGCTGAACAGTGTTAGAAGAAATCACATTACAAACCTGTTACCTAATTTCCACTGGGCCCTCATGTTTATGACACTGATTTTATTCTTCCTGACACCTGCTGTTTCAAACCCTGTCTTTTCAAACTTCCTATCTCCTACTTCTCCTCAGCAAAAGTCCTTAACCTCCTACTTAAGCAAACAAGCCATTTGGTATAAGCTGTCTCCTTGACCTCATCCCCTGTTGTCTCTTCCATTAGCTTTTCCCCTCAATTATTCCCCCTCCCTATCATCTATAAAAACATGCTCAGTTCTCCCCCAACCAGTAAAAATACTTTCACTTGACCCCTCAAGTTATCTTCTCTCCTCTTTGACTGCCAAACTTAGAAAAATCAGTCTACCCTCATTTCTTCCACATCTCAAACTTCATTTAACTGAATCTGTTCTAAGGTTACTAATTATCTCTTAATTGGTAAATCTTATGATTTTTTGATTCCTCATCCTTCATGACCCTGTTGCACCTTTGACAGTGACCAAACCCTTTACTCCTACATGGTCTTTCTGTCCTAGATTTTTGTGAATGCTTTCTCCTGGTTCTCCTCATGTCTCTTCATTCTTTTTAAGTTGTCTTTGCTAGTTCATCTTCAGGTCCCAATTTTTTAACCATGAGTATCCAAAGGTGCTGTCCTAGGTCCTGTTCCTTTTTTTCTCTACACCTATAAGTTCAAATATCATGTCTATGCAGATGATTCCCAGATCTACATATTCATCTACAATCTCCTGAGTCCTATATTACCAACTGCCTATAAGACATAAGGTATCTTCTGTAAGCCTCTCATATTATACATAAATACAAATGATGCTATTTCCCCTCCCCTGCCTTCCCTCACAACATTCCTTATTTCAGTCAAGGGTACCACTTCAGTCACTCAGGTTCTTCAATCAGTTGCCATGTTTGGTTGATTCTATCTCTACAATATCTCTCATATCATTCCTCTTTTCTACTCACATAACCACTTTCATGGCCTTGCTACTTTTCATCTGGACTATTACAATAATTTTCCAGTTGGTTTAACTGATTCTAATCTCTCCCTTTTCCATCTTCCAAAAAGTTACTAAATTGATATTCCTAAAACACAGACCTAATCATGTTACTTTCCTGCTTAAGAAACTCCAGTGGTTCCCACAAGCCTTTACAATAAAATACAAATTAATCTCTTTGGCTTTTAAAGCCTTTTATAATCTAGCTCCAACCCATCTTTCAAGGTTGATTTTTATATTTCCCCCCTTTCCTACTCTGTTCTAGTCAAACTAGGCTATTTATTGTTCTCCATACACAACATTCCAAGGACCACCCTCCTACATGAAGCCTTTCCCTTTCAAATTACATTGTTTTTCTTTTACGACATGTATTCCTTATTCCGTATTTTGTGTAGATGTTTCTTTCTTGCAGAAAATAAGCTTCTTGAAGGAAGAGGCTCCCCCTCCAAATATTCCCAGTGCTTCATGCATAATAAATGTTTGTTGAATGAATTATGTAAAAAAAAAAATTCTTCTGGCATGGCAGTGAGGGTAAAGATGACAAACCCAATACACCTAGGTAGTTCCATGGGGAAATTGAGAAAACTCTAAATTTGAATCAATGCAAATGGGTTTCCTCTTGCTACTTACTGGAAGAACAAGACCTCTCAGTGTAATTTCTCCAGTCATGGCTACATCTGAACGCACCAGCCGCCCACTAAAAAGTGAGGCAAGGCAGGTTACTATAGTAACTCCAGCAGATGGTCCATCTTTTGTGACAGCTCCAGCTGGGAAGTGCAGATGGATGTCTGTGTTGTCAAGCAGATCAAAACTTCCAGAAGCTATTATTAAAGAAGAAAAAAAAATTTAAATAGAAAATCAAAACCTGTATTTTTCTTGGTCTTTGTCCTTACGGCTTTCACTTCCTGTTAGTCTTTTAAAATCATTTTAGTATATTGCTATGTTGGGTCCAAAAGCCCTTAGAAACCTCAAATGAGCCTAACCAAGTTGATACTTATTTTTACAAATAACATTGTCTTCTGAGTTTTCCAGCTATGCAATAATCCGTACAAAAAAATCTGAGGAGGGGGGATGAGAACTTACATTTTGTATCCTTTTTAGTAGTCATGTTTCTATACTAAAAATAAGTTAATCAACTCCTATATGTGTTTGTATTTTTCAAAATTATTCCTTGCTAATCACTGTATCATTACAGAAGTAGTAAAGTAGTATAGCTTATTTAAGAAGAAATCTATCACCACTAGTGGAGACTCAAAGCTCAGTTATAAGTGACCTACTTAATGTTTTCACAATAAAATATCTCAAACTTATTTTAACCTTGGTGAAGGAATTTTGGGGAAAGACAATCTAAGAAAACATCTCATCTGGATAGTTAATATTATAGATCCAGGGGTAGTTAGGTGGCACAGTGGATAGAGCACCAGCCCTGGAGTCAGGAGGACCTGAGTTCAAATGCGGCCTCAGACACAACACTCGCTAGCTGTGTGACTCTGGCCAAGTCACTTAACCTCAACTGACTCACCAAAAAAAAAAAATTAGTATAGCTCTAACACTGAACTATATACCACTGCTCTTTAAGGGTAACATACCATTAGTCAGGTGATATTTCTTTGCATTGCTGCGCAGCCAACTGATAGCGAGGTGTGCAGACTCCTTCATGACATCTCCCAGCTGTCCAGTCAATGTTAACTGACCTTCACCATCCATTCGACTTGCTTCCACAAACATGATCTCCCCACCTAATGGACTCCAGACTAAGCCTATTGCAACCCCTGGCTGACTCAAACGCTCAGATACCTTAAAAAAACAAAACAAAGCACACCAGAGTTGTACTTAACACCACTTCTAAAGGACTATAAATAAGCACCAACTTATTTTTAGGCTTCTGACTAACAAGTACGTTATAAGGCAACAAGTCTTTTCAGGTAAAGCTTTGTGTTCCCCTTCCCTCCCCCCCAAAAGAATTTTAACTACTAACATCTAAAAGGCTGTTGGCACACCTCACATTTACTGCTTACCTTTTTGGCTTTCTACCAATGGTAACTTAATTTCCTTGTTGTCATTTGTCAAAGGCACACATTACCTTAAGCTTTAAGAAACCAAGTATGAATAATTCTGGTTTTAAGGATTGTGTGGGCCCAGAGGTATTAACACCTGCCCTGGTTATCAAGGAACAAACCTACCCTTCTCACTACTCAAGTGTCAGTATTATTTTGCATATCCCCTCACTGTTACTCCAAAGCCTGACTTATTTCATGTACACTGGTTTCATGAAGAGGAACAAACCCTATTATATAACAAAAGTATTTAAGAAGTGTTCATCTTGGATATTGTAGGCCCTATGCTTAATAGAATGTGAAACAAGGGGAGCTTGGGCACAGCAAATCCTCTGTACTGTATAATCTAGAATTTCCTGCTTCCTATCTGATTTACTTTTGAGGCCTACCAGGAGCTGTAACAGATCCTCTCTAAAGTTCAACTTTCACATTTTTAGAAGTAGTAGCAGAGAAAAACTAGTTTATAGCATCATAGATTTCTTCATCCGAAATGGGGTTTCTATGATATGATTTCCCACCTTTTTAAACTTGAAAACTCTATAGATCCCAAGTGGTGAATCTTTGTCCTCTTTTAAGGGTAAGTAAACTAGATAGAGCTAGGTTATAAAAACTAACAAATCTTCAAAGTGAGCCTAGGACACATACTTTGTATCTGAAAACCGAGGGTGGTTGACTAGTTCAGCTCAAAGTATCTGACTAGTGTAAATGGCCCTATTCTACAGAATGTTCAATAACTTACTCTATAGACTAAAAGATGTGGGAGAGACAAGGAAAAGAGAACCCCAAATGAAGAAATAGTACATATGACTGCTCCCCTAATGTGTAATGAAAACCTTACTTTTTTCTAATAGTTAAACTAAGTAGAAATTATAGAAGAAAAAAATCAGAACATACAATTAAGACATGGAACTCACTTGTCAAAATTATACATGATAGTACTGATTAAGATACTCAGTAATTGAAGAGAAGCACCTTTAAATACAGGAGGCACTTTGACTTTTATATTGAGGACATTGTGATCTTTTAGAAGAACCTAACAATACAGCATTTACTTGGATATCTGCTTCCTTCATTCAAGATGTCAAAAGAACAAGTAACAAGTCTTGTTGGCAGTTTTCTACTACTGTTAAATCACTTACATGGAATTTCACTGGGTAAGCAACTCTAGGTGAGCAAACTTCCCTACTAACTAGTGCAGATCAGCATCAGCTCTGAACCTGAGATCCTCAAATAGGTTTCAGTGCCATGGGTTCCGAGAAGTTACCTTATTTCTCCAGGGTCACACAGCCAGGATGTTGTAAAGGCAGAACTTGAACCCATATCTTTCTGACTCAGATCAGAAGAGGCATCTCCTCTATTCTATGAAGTCATGTATTATTTTGTAATATTTCCTGCTAATTGACATAATCCATCTATTTAAAAAATCTATACTTGTCCACTTAATTTATAGTAACCTGTATACAAGTAACCTGTATACAAAACAGTTTCCATAGCTAGTTAAGAATCTTCCATATTGACCAATACCAAATGTTTTCATTTGGATATTACTCATTAGTTAGTCCATTTTTTGATCACTCCCTTTTCTTCCATTTTTGGAATCATATAATGGCACTCCTATTGCTACATTTTAATTGTAAAGTGAAGAATAGTTCAGACTTGTAGCTTAGGATAAGATCTTTTACAGCTGTAGTAGGCCTCAGTTTGAGAATGAAAATTTACTGGGCCATCAAGCAATATGGTATTTCAGGATTATTTGAGCAAATAACTCTAGGTATAAATCATTATTCTGAAATTTGTGACAAGCAATTTACTTTTTCTGAAAAAACTCTTTGTTTATAGATGGCTTTACAGAACAAAAAGTAGCAGAGAATCATTCATTTGTCAAATATTTATAGGAAAAAGACATGACTTCAAGGTCCTTGCTCTGCCTTTAACTAGACTGTATGACCTTGGGCAAATCTCTGGGTTTTCATCCATATCACATCCAATGAAGGTTCCCCCAAGGCTCTGTCCTGCATCCTTTTCTCTTTTCCCTCTATACTATTTCACTTAGTGATATCAGTTCCCATGGTTTCAACTATCACTTATATGCAGATGATTCTCCTATCTACTTGTATAGCGCCAACCTCTCTCCTGTCTCTGATCTTGCATTTCTGATTACCTTTTAGAAATCTCAAACTGGAACTGCCTTTTAGACATCTTGAGCTGATTATCCCAAGTACACTTTAAACTCAACATGTCCAAAACTGAACTTATTAACTCACTCCTCCCTAACCCTTCCCCTCTTCCTAACTTCACTATTACTTTTGGGGGTACCATTATCCTCCCAAGTCACCCTCCCAACCTAGATGTCATCCTCAACTCCACACACTCTCTCACCTTCCATATCCAATCAGTAGTCAAGTCTTGTCATTTCTACCTTCTTAATAGCTCTTAAATATGCCCCCTTCTCTTTTCTAACACGGCCAGCATTCTGGTGTAGTCCTCCATCACCACCCACCTGGATTATCTGAAAACACCTGCTGGTTTGTTTTTCCTGACTCAGAATCTCTCTTCACTCCAATCCACCTTCTACTCAGTTATCAAGCTGAATTATCTTCCTAAAATGTAGGTTTTAGGAACCTACATCATTCTCCTATTCAATAAACTCCAGTAACTATCACCTTTAGCGTAAGATTTAGAATGTTCTTTTTATCTTTCAAAGCCTTTTATAACCTAATCCCTTCCTACTTTTCACCTCAGCTCTCCTCCATGGTTCTCTGATGCAGTGACACTATGCTCTATCTCCCAACTCGCCTCTACCTCCTGGCTTCTATCAAGTTTCAGCTAAGGTCTCGCTTTCTGCCAGAAGCTTTTCCTAATCCTTAATCTTAATGCCTTCTCTCTGATATTACCCCCAATTTATCCTGTGTGTATGTATGTATATATATATATATATGCATGTGTATATGTGTGTGTATCTTGTCTGTACCTGGTTGTTTGCATGTTGTCTCATCCATTAGATTATGAACTCCTTGAAAGCAGGGACTGTCTTTTGCCTTTCTTTTTATCCCCAGAGCTTAGCACAGTGCCTCGCTCATAGGAGGTGTTTAATAAATGCTAGTTGACTGACTCAACCTTTATGGGCCTCAGTTTCCACATCTGTAAAGGGATTGGATTATATTATTTTGACCATTCCTTTCAGCGCTAACACTATGACTCATGTGAAATGATTACAGAGGAAGTTTAAAGTACTTGAGAATAAAATTTTTCAAGCATGAAGAGTTTAAGAAAGTCATTTGCCAGTTTCACACAATTCTCATTTACTGAACAACTCTTAGATCCCCTAAGAGCCAGATTGCTAGGTAAGACATCGAGTTACTACATGTATTGTGTTTATGTGTAAATGTAATATACATATGCAATACAGGCATGTGTAACATACACATAAACATACACTAAAAGGGACAGCTGCATTTCTTTTAAAATTCTAAGAACTTTTTTTTTTGTCTTTATCTTCAGCACCCAACAGTGTCTGAAACAGTACAGGTGCTTAGTAAGTGCTTGTTTGAATTCATGTTTACTTCTCAAATTCAGACTGGCCTTTTATGAAGCCCATTTAGCTTAAAATAACAAATCTTTTCTGCCTTTCTCTAAGGCTAGCCTGACATTTCTTACTGATTACATCAGACCTATGATAAGAAAGAAGGATTTTTGCCATGTTTCATAACATAGATGATGCAGTGGGTTTGTTTGTTTGTTTTTTTAAACAGACTCAAATGGCACAATTATAAACTGCTGAGACAACACAAGTTTTCTGGCCAGTTTGTACATAATACTCAATAATATTTAAATCACAGTTACACATGTTTTGAGACAGTTGGATGTTTCTGTTGTAGCCATAGTATCCACTGAAGTAACCATATCACAAGATGGCAGAATACTGAATAATCGATAATCATGGCTTCACAAATGGTCAGGTTTTTGTCTGTTTGTTTCTGAATATCTGATTCACAATAGTGTACAAATGCAGCAGGCTCCATTCTGTGTTCCAGTGATGGGTGCTCTGCCAATCTATTATCATCACATTATTGTCACATAAATGCCTGTTGGATTGGATCAGTAAATCTCTTAAGAAAATGTTTAAATGCGCAGAAATGTGTACAACATGCACAATCTAATAGGCAATAACCATGAAAGATAGCTTTCAGTCAGACCAATTACATACCATCAGTGTTGTCTTGGATGAGTGACTGTGTTTGATCTATGTAAGATAGGGGGTTTGTGTTATTTTTTTAAAAAAAAATTCATTTTTATATAATAACTATTCATTTTTATATAATAAAAAAAACCTGATATATAACATTCTAAGGTTTACAAAGCACTCTTCTGAGAACAGCCCTCACATGCCCTTTTATAAATGAGGAAACTGAAGCAAAAGTCAAAGGACTTCACAAAGGTTAAAAGACTTATTAAATACAATCACAGGATTTAGAGTAAGAAGGAACTTAAAAATGATCTTGATCAATCCCCTGCTTTTACAGATGAAGAAACTGGGCCCTGAAGAAGTTAAGTAAGTTGCACAAAGTCAGACAAGCGGTAGCATAGTTCCGAGGCAGTGCTCCTTATAGCACCCCCATTAACGATCAGATACATTCTGGCAGGCATCAGAGCCAGGGCTGGAATAAATACTGAATAAGAACAGTCCCTTCTCTACAGTATCATTATGCCCTTCCTAATTTCAGATGCTGTGATTCTTGGGGACACTTCATATGGTTTATGCTCATTTCTTTAATAGCTTCCTTTGGTGTCACTGAAAGTTAAGTGACATAGATCCATCTTATTCACTCTTAAGTTTTCAAAATGTCATTGGCTGTACTGGCTTGATGCTTTGACTTCTCTAAGAAAAGACTAAATGAAACCAAGTGATTATCCTTAAAAATAGCCTTTGTTTTTCTTCTCTTTTGCTGTATAATATATGGCCTAATGAGCGTGGGACAGGTTTTTTCATTTGCTTTTTAGACTTTCTCGCAATTTTTAGAAAGATACTTCTTTGAAATTACCAAACCAACATTCCTTCTAAAGTTCTAAAACAGAAGCATCATCTATAAAATGACTTCCCCATGCACTTCTCAACAAAAGAGAAATTCCCTTTAAGTTAATTTACTGTTAGAGATAGGTTAATGCCAAAATTACAGCAGATTCTAAACTGAAAATAGGTTGCAATGGGTCACCCACAAAAAAATGAACTCTATTGAATCTCCTACATAATGAATCAGATATATTAAGACTACAGACAGGGGAAATTACTTCAAACTTTCCTTAAAATAGATACCAACAAAGTTGGAAGGGAGAGCTAATGCCTGATCTCTAACTATATCAGGTTGAAATTTAAGAAGACCTTCCAGGACCAAGCTGTGTCAACTGACACAGTGTATTCTTTTAATCTATAAGGCAAAGAAAATAGGAGGATGAAATTTTTTATTTCAAAGTAAAATTATAATATTTTTTGCATCAATTGATACACCTGGGTTAACTAGGGTTAACTCTCCTTGTTTACAAAGTAGAGGCATTTTATACTTCTAACAAACATGATACCAGCACTCTGTGTGTGTGTGTGTGTGCGCGTGTGTGCATATGCATCTGTTTGTCTGTCTCTCTGTCTGTCTCCAGGGCAGGGGGTACAGTTTAAGGGTTTGCTGGTGTCTCAGTATGGCATGGATGATTTCTAAAATCTGAATGCAATCAAGAAATGCAAGCAAAAATATAATACTGATTTGGGAGGGGCCAGAAAACCAGATACCACAACAGATACTCCTGGCTACAATGGTTTTCTGAGACAGAAAACTGAAGAAATTTATGTGGGAAAAACTAAAAATATTTATTTGTTGTTCTAGGCCTCTTTTATAACTTCCAACCATAGTAAGACTTCCCCAAAGTCAGAGATAACTATTCTAATTTGGAGCTGTCTTTGTGTTGAAATTAACCTATATGGCATTTTCTCTAAACTTGCATCACAGGTACACAAGTGTCAAGAACCCATCTGACCTTGATCATTTGGGAAATTCAACCTGACAATAAGGTGGATGTGTGTGTGTGGAGAGAGGGGTAGGGGTGGGGGTGGTGTAGCTCACTAATACATTAGACACCTTTAAAAGTACTCTTAGCTAGATAAGATGGATCCATGCAGCTAATTGTTATAAATTTCTCTTTGTTGAATCTTAGAGAGAAGGCAACATATCTCTTTTTATATTCCTGGTAGCTACTGACAGTGCCTTGAATATATACATGAATTCAAGAAAGATCTGCGATTTCATCAGCATAGGAAAGAAACAGAAAGATCTGTGATTTCACTGGCATAGGGAAGAAACAGTAATTGTCATTTATATAGCTCTTCAAGATTTTCAAAGTGTTTTATCTTAATCTTTTCTCATTTAAGCCTCACAATGATTGAGTGAGGTACCATGGTTATTATTCCCATTTTATAGATGAAGACAGCGAGTGATTTGCTCTAATGAAAGCTAGGGGCAGGATATGTGCTCGGGTCTTCCTGACTCCACGGCTAGCACTGTATCCTCTATGCCACATCCCCACCTATGCCTTGCATATAGAGTAGGAGTTTAGCACACATTTGACCAAATTTTTTGGAAAGCATTAAATATGGTATTTTACCCACCTGGCATTTTCCCCCTAAACCTAACTATGGGGGAGGCAGGGAAACAGGACTTAATATTTCAGCTTCCCAACCATAGCTTAGATTTTTGCAGTGCTTTTCTTACAACACCTTTGTAGAGAGTATAAGAAGTATATCCTTTTTATAGAGATGGGGAATCTTGAGAAACATAGAGCAGTGAGAGGTGAGTTAGGGCTAATGGCCATTATTAATGACCAGATTACCTAGACAGTTTAGAGAAACCCCTAGAACATGACCTCCTCTGCAAGCTTGGAGAAGATCAAAAGTTATGTCTTCTGAGGCCTAAGCTGTTGAGCTCAATGAGGAAATCTGGAAAGGGTAACAAGGTTTTGTGGTATATTATCAAACTACCCTCCAGATTCATGTAAGTATAATAGGGCTGATTTGCACACAGAGCAAAAACTCCATAAGCAAAGTGAAACGGAATTCCTTCATTGGGCATTAAATATTTAGAACTGTTAAACTGTGCTTGTAAAATTTCTAATCTATTCCCCTTTGCTTTTTTTCTTTGTCATAGCTCCAAGAATTTCAGACTGCCTCCAAAAATAATACCAATAAAAAAGTTTGGAGGAAGTTTAAAGTGCATGTCTACCCTACAATCATGGATTAGAGCTGGAAGTGCCAAGGTCATCTAATTTAATCCCTTCATCTAAACCAGTGAAGTGACTGATGGCCTGAGGCCACAGGAAGGACAGTGGCAAAGCCTGGGATTCAAACTCAGGGCCTTTGACTCCAAATTCAGTGGTCTTTCCACTCTTCCACATTAGTAATACGGACTATTCTTGTGTTGCCCTGTCTAATCTAATTATTCTCAGCAAACTGCTAGAATGTACTTTTGCTGGAATTAAATTGATTAAATGGATTAAAGTGGTCCCACTGACACTGCACAGTCACAGTTTATCATCTTCTTCACCAAACCATTTTTAGGGCTTCATAATCTTTCAGAGCAAGAAAGCAGAATTTCCTAAAGTAAGAAGCTCAATGCCCAGAACCCCAAGGTTTTATCTTTGCTTACATGTTTAAGTTGATTATGTTATCTTAAGGCCTTAAAAACTCTTAAGAAACCCTACTTTAAAGGCACTATAAGTCCTAACAGCAGCCCCAAATGATTCTGACAGATTCTGCTCTCCATCATACCTACTGCCCAAGACAACAATCTTTATTTATGAACTGAAACTCTATACAAATATAAACTCATTTCCATAAAAGGGAGCATGAGATAAGGCTGCCCTATTCCCAGTGTGACCCATGTCAAACAATTTCCATTTGTAGTCAATCCAAATGTCTGATAAGGAATATTATTTTCTGCCACTCACCTTGTGTTGAAATGTACCTTTGTGTCATAAACGAGGTGATGGCTGCCTTGTACTTCTGAATAAAGATGTTCCCAAAAAAACCCTACTAATATTAACACTTTTCCCTGAGAAGTTTTCCTAGTGGCTTAGCTAAATACAAAAACAGAATAAAATGTATTAAGGAAGTCTACCTCAGTCGCAGACACCTATTTTAAGCAACTTCCTCCCTCAAGTTCTCATCACCTTTCTAGCTTTGCCATGGTCCGGGAGTTCATGGGGTATGACGTTTGTGTGATGTAGGAAAGAAAGGAAATGGGTGGAGACATAGACACTAGCTTGAGCTGAAAGGAAACAACAACAATAGAAGAACAGCATCCTGAAAGAAGGAATCTAGGACTGAATGGGCAGTGATCTCTGGTGCTCATTTTCAAGCAATTATCTCGTACTAGCTTTTCCCTCAATCCTAAGAAATCCTACATTTAAAGCAAATATACACCAAGAATAAAGATGTGCAAAAAAGGAGACCTGTTACACTAGGGAAAATTTGTAGTTTTCCTCTCAAAGTGGAATTAGATGGTGGGGGGAAAAAAAAGCAACGCAGACTAGATTATAGTAAAGGAACACTCTGATACCACTTTTGTGCCACATGGAAAACAGATCTTAACTATAAAACAAACAAAACAGAAATGACTACTACCATCTCAATTCCACATCCAAATTTCAAAACAATAAGCAATAGCTCGATTATACCATCTTAGGATAAATAGAGAAACAAGAACAGTCACCTCCATTTCATACATCGGTGGCCCCAGGATATCTTTCAGTGCGTGGAAATCAATTAAGATAGGCATTTCAGGTGGCAGGGCCAGGTCGGGTGTGTCACTGATGGATTCGGGTTTTGCATCTTCCAGGAGGTGTTCTCTGCACCCTGAGAGAGTAAATTTAACAATCATAAAAGCTTCAAACAATGGAACATTTGTGGCATAGCTGAAGGAATGCTAGACTGGGAACCTGAAGATCAGAGGTTTTTTCCTGGGTGGTATGCTTGATAGCCATGTGACTCAAGGTAAGTCGCTTGCCCTATCTACCTCATAGAGATGCTGAAAAGAAAGTTGTGATCCTTAAAAGTACTAAATAAACATATAAGTATTGTGCAATCTGCCTCATTTACCAACACGTCTGAAAAGACAAATCCGAAGCATATCAACTACTCTAAAATTAAACATTTCATCTTACTGATGTACTAAGGCAGAGAAATCCATTGTCATTGTTAAAAATTAAAGCTCCATGTGTGATTGTGTATATGTGAACAAACTTTCAAGAGTCCTTGGAAGGAGATACAAGGTGATGAAGTTAAAGGTCAAATATTCAGAGGCTCAAATGCACTATTTTTGATGGTTTAGTAAAATCCACATCTTAAGGCCATTTGATTCCTTCTACTTTTGATTAAACTGGGCAGAGCTTGATGAAGTCTTAAGTTTGATGGCAGGCAATCTGAATTTGGAAAAGGCAGTAACTATCAGATGTTGTGCCTCTCTTATGAGTGCACAGGTCAATTGTGATGATATGATTTACCTTCCTGAAAGCCAAGGAGGAAGCCTAGTGGACTCCCTTAGAATAATGGGACGTTTCCTCCTTGTCTTCTCCTAATCTGATGAAACCCTACATTGGCTAATTGCTGGGGAAAAGTAGAGACTCATTAAACTATCCTAACAGGTATAATGGATGATGGATGGATAGACTACGGATGATGACAAAAAGATCTATGTAGTGTTTTAAGGTTTACAGAGTTTTACAATAGATTAACTTATTTGATTTTTCACCTCAAACTTCTGAGTACTCACTCAAATGATGAGACTAAGGCTCAGAAAAATTAAGCAACTTGCTCATGGTCACATTAAATATTATAAGCAGGATTCACACCTGGGGGCAGCTAGGTAGATAGAGGGCTAGACCTGCCATCAGGAAGACTCATTTTTCTGAGTTCAAATCTGGCCTTAGACACTAACTGTGTGAACTTGGGCAAGTCACCTAACCCTGTTTGCCTCAGTTTCCTCATCTGTAAAATGAGCTGGAGAAGGAAATGGCAAACCACTCCAACAATGAAGAGTCAGACATGACTGAAACAATAACAAAAATTCAAACCCAGGCTTCTCTCAAATTTTACAAACCTAGAGCTCTTTCTACTACATATAATGTTGCTTTTCTAAGAAGTCCTATCTGAAACAGAAAAGGTGGTGGGGGGGAGAGGGGAAAGAAACCAGCATTTATCAAATACCTATTATGTGCTAGGCACTTGCTAAGTTCTTTACAAGTATTCTCATTTGATCTGCACAACAACACTGTGAGGTAGTTGCCATAATTATCCCCATGTTGCAGTTGAGGAGACTGAGGAAGACAAGGTCACACATTTAGTAAGTGTCTGAGGCTAGATTTGAACTTAAGTCTTCCTGATTCTAGGCTCCATCTATGGCACCACCTAACTATGGAAGGAAGCAAGGAAAGAAGAGAAGGAAGGAAGGAGAGTGGGAAGGAGGGAGGGAGACATTTGTGGCTAAGAAATCTAGCAGGAAGGATCAGGAGTGAAGGGGGGAAAGGGACAGAAAGAGGTGGGAGGGGCAGAAAATGGTCACCATTCAATCTATTTCTTAAGGTTTTCTAAACCATTCTTCTAGTCATTATTATTCTATGAGGCTGTGGGTTTACTGACCCTTTCGGAATTGTGCATTCTATTCCCTTTTGATTTTATGACTTCCTCTTGTCTTTCCCCACACAATCCCTTCCTTTTCATTTTTCATATTTTTCCTTGAGAGCAGAGACCCCATTTCCTTCATCTTTTTTTTCTCCTTTGGAAATGGAAATGTACCTAGCACAGAACCTTGAAAACTTAAAATTTAAAGTCTGCTGGATTAACGTCATTCTCCCCCTCCCCCCAATAAACAATGTTTTATTAGCAGATTTTTTTAATATTACAAATTTAGATGCATTCTCAAAGTATGTACACAGAATATCAGAAAGCAATGCCTGATGGAAAATATTCTGTCATTTCCAAAACAATGTCAGTCCTATCATCTTTTGGAAATGATTATTTTATACTTGATTCCCTTTTTGCTACAGCATTTTTGGATGCCAGTGACCATCTTTCGTAGTGGCAGGATGAAGGAGAAATGAGGGTTTTTTCAAACAGATCTAGTCAGAGAAGCTTCTAGGAGTGCCATCAAGGCTAGGCCTTGAAATATGGAAATTGGGTGTTGGGGCATGCATGAGTCAGCAATCTTTCAGAAGAGGAGGACTGTGAAGGAGGCTTTTGCCAGAAAGAGGTATGTACCTTTTTGGGATTTTCACACTAAGTTTTCTACTCTACTATTTCTACTGCCCTCCTGGAGTTTGCCCAAGTCAAAGTTAGCTGCCCAATGCAAGGTACAGAGCTGTGCTTTGTAAAGTTAAGTCCACTTGGCATTTAAAGAATTTCTTCTTCCACAGTCCTTCCTAGATGTCAGGGGCCAACTTTCTCTGGGGTGAAGGAAGCGGATTTTCAAATAGATGTAGATTTGAAAGTTCCCTCAGGTTCCAGTAGTACCAAGGAGGCCATAGCTTCTAACCCTGCCTACTCAGGGCACTCTCCTTTCCAGAGGGACAGGCTGAGAGGGAGCTTTCTGGAGCCAGGAGGTACCTGTCCTCCAGGCATCAATGGACAGTGGGAGGGAAGAAGGGTTTACACGCATGGGGGCTAATCTCGCCTCCACTAGAATTCTCCCCAGATTTACTCAAGTTGTTCTTTGTGTACCAACAACACAACCAGTTGGGCCCTGTTCAATTCAACTCAACAAGCCCTCTACCCAGCACTGGAAGTCCTGAAGGCATCTGCTGTCCTCTTCTGTATTTCCAGCATGTTCTTGGCCTGTGTTTACTAGTTGTTCCGAATCTTTATGAGGAGTGACAAGGGGGGAGGCCCTGAAGGGGCCTTCTGAGATGAGGACTGGAATACAGCTTGGGAGTTCTTTTGATGCCTGCCAAGGATCTAGGAAACTAGGAAAGTTGCAGGGATGGAGGTGGCTTGTACAGCAAGATTCCTGCCATCATGGTGATTCTCAGCTGGCTGCACAGGCCTCCAGTCTCTCATGCCTGACCTGGAAGGGCTTCTGGAGGCCCTGGGCTGAGCTCAAATGGGCTGAGTAGCTGGCAGGGAAGCAAGAGCAAGGCAGGGATGGAAGCAGACAAGGAAGGAAGATGATTCACTTCACTCTTAAAGAGATATATATTATCTATTCATCTAAATTTATTTGGGATTGAAATCTGAGATATTTGGAGACACCCTGAGATGTTACTAAGTTATGAATTATTATCCTATATCTTTTAAGTTGGGGGGGAGGAAGCCTTCCCAGGTTTCTTGCCTGCTCTATTTCTTTTTTCCCCCATCAATGCTAAGATGGAATCCTGATGGAAAATATATAATTTAACATATGTCCCATTAAAGTTTAAAGCCTTTGCTCTACTAAGTCTCCTCCATCCATTTGGAGTAATAAATAGCTGACATTTATAGTACTTTAAGGTTTACAAAATGTTTTACATATACTTCCTTCTTGATTTCTAAGTAGTCTGCAAAGTTTAAATCTCTATATAAACGTTAGCTAAATAATCTAGACATGATATGTGCTCCTACTTTGTGGATATTTTCCAAAGAGATGGCATAGTTTATACCTATAATATCTTTGCCTGTCTTTAAACTGAATCATCCCTTCAGGCCTAGTTAAAATCCAACCTCCTCTATCCCTTATGGAACCAAATCACACTAGTCTTTTCCCTGCTTCAACAAGCATTTCAATCAATAAGCATTTATTAAATATTTACTATGTGCCAGACACTGCTAAGCACGGAACCTTCTTGCTCTCTCACAGCACTTTGTGTCTGTCATGTAAAACCTGGAACTTAGTTATTTGTTTTATTGTCTTCTAATTGTTATGCTCAGGTGCCCAGCTAACTAGATTATATGCTCATTAGGGGCAGGGGCTGTAGTGCAGACATTTCCTCTTATGTTGCTGTTTTCCAAAGTCCTAGTCCTGCCTCTTCCATCTAGTATCTGTGTGACCTTTGAAAATATGAGCCTAAGTGTCCTCACCTGGAAAATGAAGATATCAGTACCTATCCTTTTTATCACACAGTGCTGGATAAAATGGTCTCTGAGTATGAAAGAACTTTGAAAACCATATGACAATACAATTTAGGGGTAAAATGTGTTATCTCCTTGGAAAACATCCACAAGGGGGAGGATGTCTAGGTTATTAATAATGTAGCTAACACCCATATAAAGCTTTAAAGTTTGCAAACTACTTAAGATGCATTGTATCACTTGAAATTCATAGCAACTCTTCAAGGTGGGTTATACAGATAATATCCCTATATTACAGTTGAGGAAACTGAAGCTTAGAGGTTAAATAACTTGCTCATGTTCACACAGCTAGTGAGTGCTGAGGGAAGGATACGGACCCAATCTCTTCCAACTACAAGTCCTATTGTTTTGTTATTGTTCCTCTGAATTTTATAGGAAAAACAGGAAGGGTTAATTTTATTTATAATCTAAAAGTGGCTGTGAAGGAGCTGTCACTGGTACTGGGTGTTCAAAGGAGATGGGAGAATCTTTCTGCTTACTAAGTGCTGTGGCTCTCACCATGATCAATAAATGAAGACTGGCTAAACTCTTTATTTGACCTCTGTGCACCAGGCAGATTTCTGGGTTACATGCTAAGGTACAACTTTGATTGATGAAGCAGGACTGAGGGAAAGCATGTGAGTGCTTATAGGGAGAAGTATCATCATTTAATTAAAATTAATTGCATAGAGAGAAAACTGCCACCTGTATAAAGTTATTGTACCATGAAGCTGCAAGTGAAATGGTATTGAGGTTTCATATAATGTATTTAAGGGGCT